AACAAAGCACACACAAAACACATATCTGATCTGGAGAGAGAGATCGCAGGATATATTATAATACAAAATAATTAGAGATCTGTCACAGATGCACGCATTAACTTTTTTGAATAATCAATTGATGTAGTATCGAGCTTATTAAAATTAGACTGTTGTTTAGTATGAAATCCGCCATTACATGGTGACATTGTTTTTAATAATTGACCGACTAGTGGAGATTGTTTAATTATCTTATTTCCATCTATTACTGCTGCTTTTGTGGGCGACTTTAGCTTTGATATATTTGGATTTGAAATAACGGAGTCGGTATCAGTACTGCTTGAACTAAGAGAATTACAACGACCGCTTTGGCGACATTCTGGAGGGGATAATGGAGGTTTAGTAGGAAAACATTTTATATCTGATTGATGATGTTTATAACCATTTTTTTGTGATGTTGATGAACCGGAGGAGGTCGATGAACTAGAGGAGGCGGCACTAGACGATGAAGATGATAGAAGTTGATAGGAGATTGTTTTATTCGTTTGATGAGAATTACTTTGGATACGCGGTGGCGGTATAGGTTTTTTCTTATTGTTTATATTTGTGGTTGTCAATGGAGATGAACACTGTGATTGCGTCGTAACTTTTGTAGTTATTGAATCTTGAGAATGATCACGAGACGATGGATAAGATGAACCGTTTGTTAGTGGCTTTTTACCATTTGTTACAAGTTGATTAGAAAATGTTACTTTATTTGGTTTTGAGGTTAATTGTAAACGAGATTGGTTAGATAACAGTTTACTGTTTGATTCAGATGATGAATTAGATGATGTTGATGAATTTTTAGCGATAGTTGTGTTAGTGGTGTTAGCACCTGTTTGTGTAGGTGTAATGAGTGCTTGTCGTACAATAAATGAAAGCGATGGAGATGGACAATTGTTGTTATCAGTTGAACCGGATTGATTTGAGCAAATACTTGTTCTTGTACTCGATGTTAACAGGATAGAACTATTTAAACTGCGATTATCGAATAATTGTGCTGAATCGCGGCCCATTTCAGAATTATTATGATTCTAAACACGTTTTAGACATTGAATCACTGATTGTTGCACATAAGATCTTAATATTACCTGATGTTGTTGTTGTTGTTCATCAGCATATTTCAATTGTTTCAATGTTTCAAGTTGATTAGTATAATACAAACGACGTTCTCGAGATTTTTCTGCTTTCTATTGAATAAACAGAAAATGTATTATAGTTTTTATTAATAAACATTTTAAGAAAGATCCTCACTTCAATCGCTTTTAGACGCCCGTCCGAATTTTGTGTTGCTGATTCAATTTCCATATTCAATGCTTTTTTATCAATGTTGAATGAAGAAGATTGTATAACAATTACTTTGGGTTTTGGATTTCTTTGTTCTTGTGTTACAGCCAATCTAGATGATTAATCAAATATTGGAATAGTTTGATTAGAGAATGAAATAATTACCGTTTAAGATTGTATAACATCGTTGTTAATCGTTTACATCTTTTAATTGTGAAATCAAGCCTTTCTGGTTCTTCTCGAAGAAATCTAGATAGGTATTTGAAATATTATTAGAGTTTTGATTTAATATTGATCCTATTACATACTTTTCATCATCTTTTAGTGTTGATTGAGACCCAAGGCAACATATTTTTTCTCTTAGTGCTGGAAATGATGCTGAAAAATAAACGACATGTTAATAACTCATTTGATTGGTTTGTAAATTATCGATATTACCTTTCAAATCGACTAGTGATCGACTAATTGTACTCAATGCTAGTGCAAAACTTTCAACATCATTCATTGTTACATGACAGTTTTTATTACTCATTACATCATTTCTTAACTCTTCGACTGTTGCTTCTAAATCTCTGCAAAAAGTAAAAATTTTTATATTAAAGACATATAAAATAATCTGTTTATTACTTACTCTAATTCATGATCAATTTTTGTACTAGAGATGGTGTAATTATCGAGTTCAGTTTCTATGGTTTTACGTTCGACTTTATTTTCAATCTGATACGTCAGTAAATGATCCTAGAATTATTAATTAGTTATAGTTCAAGTTTTGACAAAAGAAGAACATTACCTCGATTTTTTTACTTGTTATTTGTAGTTGATTTCGCATACTGTCTTGCGTTGTTTGTTGCAAACGTTTTAATAAATTCAAGTCGGTTTTCAATGCGTGAGTTTTAATTTTTAATTCGTATAAACTTTGTCGCAATGTTTTTCCATCTAAAAAAATGCAAATATTCAAAAACATTCTCAAAATGGAGTGTCTTGTTCAATAATTCACCTTTTCTATTGAGTGTATTGCAATTGTTGGATGAATTTGAATATCCGTTAGTTTCATTCGAACGCGATAAGGTTTGCACAAGATCTGTTAGAGATTTTAGTTGTTTTTCCATGTATTCCATTTTACACCTATTTACAGATGGATATTGTTATGAAAACAGTGTATAAACAAAAATTAATCACTCACCGAGCATCGTCATCTGATAAACGAGGTGTAGTTGAGCCACTACGACTAAAAACATGATCATGCTCTTGGGGAGATGCTGTCGATTTTGGCACAGCTTTTTCTGGACATACTGAAATACGATTAGTAGTGAGTTAGTATATAATGATCAAACTTCTTGTGCAGTTCTTACTTGTGAGAGTTATCTCAGTTCCCGTTTTTTTATCTTGTATATGATTATTGCTGTTATTTTGTATACGACGTCTTGGCTCACTTAATGAACGAGAATTTGTTGTTGTTGTTGATAGATCAGATTTAGTATTTTTATTTTCATCCATTGAATTTCGTGTACCATTTGTTGTTTGTAGTCCGATAATCGATGTTGATGATGGAACTCTTCCAAGTCGACTTAGTCTTTGATATGTTATTTCACTAGCTAATATTGGTCTAGATGTAAATGGGACGTAGATATCATCTTGATCTTTTGTCCTGGTGGCGGCGATTGTACTATTCAATGATTTTGTTGATATCGATGATGATGCAGATGTATGACTAATATCAACAGCAGGTAATGATTGTCTATCATCAGTTTGCGATTTATGGTATTGTTCGCTCCCATTAATAACACATGATGATTCGGTCTCACTGTTTAATGCACACGCTTTTAGTTGAACGACTTTCAGTACGCAACGATCTTTGACATCACTAGAAATATAAAATAATAGATGTAAAATGTATAGAGATCGATGTTTATTTAAAATACATGTACACGTACGTCATATCTTCCAATTGATAAAATAAATCTCTCTCAGGATCTTTGACATATATCCTTACTGTATCTTGATCCATATATTTCATTGTCAAATGGCGTGGAAACGCTCTGTAACAAGAAAAAAATTGAGTAACAGAGGTTAAAAATGGGACATACTGTGGAACTAACTGCATGTTATAAAAGAAAATATACATATGTATGTTGTAGCGAAAACTGGAATTTAGTGAAATTCTAGAGTTCGCTAGGCAAAACTGGAATTCGAGTTTTCCCTAGCGAAAACTGAGATGTATGTGCGTGCACATGCTCGATTCCAGTTTTCTCCAGTGAAAATCGAGATTTCGCTAGGTAAAAGTGAAATCCGAGTTTTTCCTGGTGAAATTTAGAATTTGACTAGATGAAACTGGAATCCAAGTTTTTCCTAGAGAAAACTGAGATGCATACATATGCCGATTCCACCTATCCTTAGTGAAATCTAGAATTTGACCAGGTAAGAGTAGAATTAATATAACGGGAATAGATTTCAAGTTATAGAAACAAAATAAATATTTTACAAAGATGAATGAACAATCACATTGTCTAAAGGTTATTTTTTGCACTTCTTTTTCTTCTCCTACAACCCATTATAACAACAACAGCTCAATGTTCGGTCATCACAACAACGCCTTCATGTTCAGTCGTCGCAATAATAGCTGCGGACAATGTTAGGGAAGCTGACTTTTTCAAAGAAACCGATAACTACATTTCATCATTAAAAGAACAATATCGTACAAAAGCTGTTATTAACAAGAGGATCCACGATGATATCATGGTAGCATTGAAATTAGAGAAAGGTAAAACTGTTTATCTCTCAGCGAAGTTTATTTTTTGGTCAAAAAATACTTTTGTGTTAATAAATACTGCTGGTATTGACATTGTTTGTGATAAAAAAAGTCTCAAGCCCGTTGTACTTTACGAATCATTTTTTCAAATCATTGGTGAATACCACAGGAGAATATCCCATGGAGGAAGAGACAAAACATTAAAAGAAATTCAGGCGAACTACGCGTGGATTTCTCATGTTTTTGTTGATATTTTTTTGAAACAATGTGTTGAATGTCAAACACGTAAAAGTATTAAAATACCTATTGTATCTAAAGCAATTATCTCTTTAGGAGTAATGACAAGAGTACAGATAGATTCGGTAGATATGCGAAGTCGTCCTGATGTCGTTAGTGCTGATTTAGGAAAAACTCGGAAAGAAGTGCAAAAATAACCTTTAGACAATGTGATTGTTCATTCATCTTTGTAAAATATTTATTTTGTTTCTATAACTTGAAATCTATTCCCGTTATATTAATTCTACTCTTACCTGGTCAAATTCTAGATTTCACTAAGGATAGGTGGAATCGGCATATGTATGCATCTCAGTTTTCTCTAGGAAAAACTTGGATTCCAGTTTCATCTAGTCAAATTCTAAATTTCACCAGGAAAAACTCGGATTTCACTTTTACCTAGCGAAATCTCGATTTTCACTGGAGAAAACTGGAATCGAGCATGTGCACGCACATGCATCTCAGTTTTCGCTACAACATATATATATATATTTATATGTACTCTGCTGTTTCATGTTAATGAGGCTAAACTGTTTCCTGCGTTTGAACATATGACGATAGTTTGCGTTTTTTCGAGCTGACTGTAGAAACTTGTCATGTTTGAAGAGCGAACTTTTTTTACATGGGACAGAGATGATTTATAAGTTTTACTCCCGTCTGACTATATGACTCGCCTTATAAAAATATTTAGAGTATTTTTAGATAAACATACCTGACAAATAATGCTTTCACTGTATCCGTGCATGTGACTTCGTTTGGCAGAAGAACTTTTTTGATTTCATCACCAACACAAAGAAAACATAATCCTAAAAAGAATAATCTGATTTGGTCTTTCCTAATACGCTTTTTGTCCGCAGAAATTTACCTAGCGAGCTGACTTTAGTTGATGCTGGTCGTACAATAACTGGCAGACTTGTTCTAGTACGATATCCACGTGTAAAACCTATAAAATAGAACACACTCATCACTAATCAAATCGTTAACAGGCTAAAACTTATGCTTACCGGCTGTAGCTGTTGTCATTTGTGTTGTATAAATTTCGTCGTCATACGGTCCTGTTGATGATGGTCGCCTAGATGGTGATTGAGCTCTGGGCTGAAAAATTAAACGTTCATCAGTGATGTTAACTATTCAAATAAAATATAAGATTTTACCATTGTTGGTGTCGTTGATACAGATGCTGAATGTTCAGTGCGATTAGCATAACGTTGTTTTATAATATCGATTAAAGCATTTTTTTGTTGTTGACATAGTTGATGTTCAACATCACCATCGTTGTTGTTGTTGTCGATCTATGCGCATACAAGATAAGAATAAGTACACACTAATGTCGAGTATAGTTCCTAATCGTCAATCAAACAAATCTACCTTTACCAATAACGACGATTATTTCATCGTTTTTTATACTTTACCTGAACAATCCGATTAATTTATTCCGTGTACAACAACAAATATATGTCATAAAGTTACGTGAACAACACACGATCGATGAGAATTCTATGCAAATATAGAATGAGGAACATCCTCTATTTTCTCTTTCTTCTTTTTCTCAAACAACAAAAAAAATTAATTTCTCCCTCTTTCTCTATAAAAAGATCTTGTTTCCCCATAGTGTCTATATAGGTGATGACGATAAGAAAGGATTAGAAAATGTAAAGTTTTTTGTTCCTTCCGTATACTCAACAATTAGAAGAAGAAGAAGAAAAAAAACACCAGATTAGCTCATAGGTTTCTCGTTCACTAATGCATACGTTTAGCTTTCACCTATCTATGAACTGTTTGTTTCTGATATTTAAGACATTTTTGTTCGTAATAGCTCACAGCGTATACTGCCTTTAGTTAATCTAATTGCACTTTTAGTGTTACATAGTTAATATCGACAAGCACTATAAAGAAACCTTTACGCAACATCATGCAGGCGCGCGTATATAAAATAATGATAATTTCTTGATAGCATATTTTTCGTCAATACTTATATGTATATATAAGTGAGTGTGTGTGTGCGTGTATGATGTTTATTAGCGTTATGTTCAACAGACATATATGTATATAAAAACTACAAATTGTTTCTGTCTTTCATAAAAAAAACAATGAAGTTATTTCCTAGTGATGGTGACATAGATCATTCCTGACATTTTTTTTTGTAATCACTGGCATATATCATAATTTGATAAATTGTTAAATGAATTAACGTACTATAGTAGTTACTTTAATGCATTGTTCATTTATTCGCACCATTTAAATCGATGATATTATATAATATCTACTTTTTTTTACATGGTATATACAAAATTTTATAACTGCCATAAACTCATGTGTCCAGAGTTCGCACGTACTGTATATAACTATAATTTTACAGAAATAATGTATAAACTTCTTAACTGACATTTTCTATATGTAATGATTACCCTTTAAAAACACTTTTGGTACGATGCAGTTTAGATGGACACTCGGTTAAAGTGCAAGTTGTAAAAAAAAACACTATCTATAGAGTGAAAACATTTTTTTTACTATAACGGGAAGATTTTTTTGTTATTATCAAATCAATGCCATTATGTTACGCAACTAATCTTATTGAACATATAAAACATTTAAACTCTACACATTGTACGCTCATTCATTGCTCAGTTTGATGGTCACGAAATCTAAATTACTGCTTGAAGAATGCTGTGGCATGATAAAAATGTTAACCTACAATCAGCGGTTTATTTGAACTCTAATTTCTAATTGCACGATGTTCAAATAATTGGATTCGACTATGCCTTTATTTCTTTATCTGCGTATAAAAGTATCAATACATACATGTATCTTGAATCAGACCATCTTCAACTAATAATAATGTTCGTGACAAACATTTATATAAGTCTAATAATTACAATAATACCACCTTTGCAGTGAAAAAATTATTTAATCAAGAATGAACCACTAATTATTTCAAAAAAAAACAAAAAACGATAGAAAAAAAATGAACACACTTTCTCATTTAACAAATATTATGAATTGAATTAGAATTTCTTTAATTTTACAATCCCACAGCAAATATATCTACATCTGTGTGTAAATTGTCTACAACAAATGTGTGTATAGTGCGATTATAAACTACTGAGCACATTATCATAACGTTTTCGCGTTTCATATTCACAAAAGTTACACTTCTTTCATCTTGATATATCCTCACAAGTGGGGGTCAAGTGGTAATGAAAAACATACACCAGAAGAAGTAGAGCACATAAAAAAAACAAGTTGATACAGTGTGCTAGTGTAACGACTATACAATGTTAAAAGAGCTTTAGGGTATGATTTAACAGAACAATACTTGACAACTGTCACACTACACTAAACCTAATTTCAATTTTAATTTTTTTTGTTAACTGAAGCTTTCAAAAAAATTTTTGTTAACTTTTCACAAATTTTTTCATAGAAAAGAGTCTAGATTTTTAATTTTAATCGAATCAAATCCTTTGAAATTACACTAGTTTTACCTTTAAAGCATCTTCCATTATGTACCAAAATTCTTATTTTCCATAAACAATTTTATTTCCGAAAAAAAAGAATTGTTCTCTAGAATAATAATATTAAACAACATCACAATAATCGACGTTCTTCTCTATTTGCAATCGACCGAAACATTTCTTCGACATCGACTATTTCTTCTTTTTTTTTTATATTTAGAGTTTGTTATGTTGCAAAAAGAAACAAACCATTATGTTGTATATATTCTCTTTGTATTTCTCTCTTCTTCATTCTTTTCACAACGCGTTCATTCAAACCTTTAGGTTTTCTATATATATATATATATATCGTCTCGATTATTAATGTTAAATTAATGGCACATATTGACCTGAGAGGTTATGGATGATAACAACAATGCAAAGGTTTAAAGTTAATTCATGTCATCAGTTGTCAGCTGGGTGATTATCATGTTTAGAACACGCATACATTTACTTCTTCCTTTCTCTCTCTCTCTCTCTCTTTTTCTCTCATTTATTTTTTGTTCTTAACTAGGCGTGTAAAACTAAATACTCACTCATTCACGAAAGTTCATCATCCTGTTTTACCATATAAGAATCAATTTTCGTCTTTTCCTTTTCTTTATTCCCACACATTAGTACAATCTATCTTTGCTGCTTTAAGCAAGATTCGAAATTTACTATATTTCTCTACTCAAATGAGTTAGAGAAAGAATCGACAGTTTTCTTTCTTTTTTTTTGGCGACGTGTTAATGTATACAGTGACAAGAAAAGACAGAGAGAAACACCAGTTGTTTCTACAATATAGACCCATGGTCAGTTAAAACAGAAAGGGAAATGATCAAAGAGTGCCCTTTTTTTATCTTGATTGAACGACGACTGTATATGGGTTAAATTAAAAATCACATAATTCTCAGACGTCGTAGATAAATAAATTAATATTCACCTTTAAGACTATTGTAATGGATAGTCATTAGAAGGAAGAATTCTAAATTCTAACGAGGATTACTGAGTATATGTATCAGAGCTCCTATTGATCGATCTGGCTTGGGATCCACTGGCCTTGGACCGAACGGACCTTTTCAGAAATTTTTTTAGGTCGAACAGACCAACTCCATCCGAGAAATTTTTAATGCTTTCTCCATATTTTCAATTAAATTTGGTTATTTCCTAGTAATATCAAATGTTACTATTATCTAGAGAATTCTGTTGTCAAAAAAATGCTTCTGTTTTCTTAATTAACTTAAGAAATTAAGCGTCAAAAAAAAATCTAGTATCGCCCAATTCATCTAGATTACTAGATTTTTACTCGATTGCAACTACTTTGTAACGACAGGAGGAATCTAGTAATCGGGCGATTGCTCGATTTCTCCTAGTTGCAATTATCAATTTATCGATCGATTAAATTATTGCTAGTTACACATGCAGACGCATCTAGTTAAAAGTTCCTTTTCCAACTAGTAATCTAGATGACAACTAGTACTAACGACTACAGACGAAATGTATCTGGATTTTTCCCATAGATGATGTTAGCTTGAGTGATATGGTTGCTAAACTAATCTTTAGCAAAGCTTTTTCTGTGTTTTTGCTATAATAAAGTTGAATTTAGTCGAGAAAAAGTTTACAGTGAAGCTCGAGCCAGGCGGGTTGACCCATCAAAAATTGGCCAAATTAGGAGCTCTGATATGTACCATCGTTTCTGTTCCGTATCGAATCTATTGAGACATTCTTAAAAGTATTTGATAACTGCAGGATTTCAGCCAGAGGCCTGTACGAGTTTAGAAAACATAATCGAATAATTTTGAATTACATCGTAAATGGTTCAGTCTGAAGCAGGACCTGCACCGGTTATATTGTTTTTAGATCAAAAATATATGACCATCTTATTAACCATTTAACTATGGTTAATTGTTCAGTTAATAACTGGTCTTTTCTTTAATAAAATCGTCATATTTTTTCTATCGAAGGATAATATTAAGTGTTTGACTATATTATTTTGTAAAGTAATAATTCTATATCATCGAATTTTTTTTATAACTAATATTATCAAACAGACAAATGCTGTTCTCTTCGTTTTTAACAGATGCGTGTCTAACAAAATCAAGATTCCAAGTTTGAAGTCCCAGTGTCCCAGAACAACATTTTTTTAAAGTGTTAATTTGCCAAGAGCTTCATGCCTTTTTAATGGTCTTATTTTGAGAAAGTCACGCTAAGAAGATATATATTACATTTAATATCTAATTAAAACTCTGATCTCCGTGCCAATAAACTATTGATATCAAAAAAATTAACTAATTCAATTCAATTTTTTTGTTAGTAATGATTAACAGAGGATGTACATGAATTAGAGCACGCTTGATGAACATATTAAACAATACAAACGAATCGTTAATCGGAAATCACTATTACTTTTCATCGATGAACAATCGTTTTATACTGACATCTATCTATTTTTCAGTGTACGCGGTCTATGTATGAGAAAACATCTGATCATCTGATCTTTTAGTATTACTATACTAAAGTTAAAAGTAGATTAATGGCTAGTGTGACATCTTTATGAAAATATGAATTCGACAAACTAAGACGGTTATAAGAGAAAAGTATCTGAACATGGACATATTTTTAGTTTTTCTCTTATTCATATTTGAAAAATATTTATTAGCTATTGTACATACCATACGTTTTGGTTCAACTTCCAAACATTCATCTTCTTTGACCACTTCTAACGGTGTAAAACATGCTTTTGTTACGTTTAAATTATCTTTAGTCCGAGACAATGATCGATTATTATTACTATTACTATCAGATAACATCTGATTCGCACTATTTCGCATTACACACGTTTTTGTTCCAACTCCACAATCGTTTATCACATTACAATAGTTCAGTGATTCTATGTCGTACGTTGACTTTGATTTTTTATTTTTACTGTTTGATTTTTTTTCATCTTTATTAGTGAGAACCGTACATGCTGACTCAGATTTTGTCATTAAATCTATACAATTTTTTTCTTGACAATGATGGATATCTGGTGGTGAATAAATTTTTTGTCTTAATGGATTTCCTTCCGATAATGTTAGATGATTACTAGTAAAGTTGTTGTTATTATTATTATTATTATTATTATTGATGTTTGTTGACTCAAATTCTGTAGAAAATGAACATATTGAACTTGTGTTTGACGTTGGAGATGAAACAAGACTTCGAGATGAATCACAATGATGATTAGAATTCGTGAAACATTTTCTATCTGTTAGAGCTGTTTTTATTTTTGACGGTGTTTGTTGCTGTTGATCCGTTCGACGTATAACAGGTAAATAATGAATAGTACCATTGACAGTTGTCGGTGAAACACATAAACGTGAATCATTGGCTGGTGAAACACCTTGAATTATGGTCATTGGAGATTCACTATTGTTTGTTTGCATTTGCTTGACTATGACTGGTGGTTCGGCATAAATATTACGCTCCATATCAGAATAATCGGCTGTATATCGTTTCGTACTACCGTTCACGACATTTGTACAACGTGACGGTGTTGTTGACGGATGATAACTGTTCGTTTTTGATCGATTATTTGAATATATTTTTTGATGACCATTGGTATTAGTATTACCAATATGTCCATTAGATTTTAGTTTTCGAGTTGTGGCTGTTGATGGTGAGTCAGTGACTAAAATAAAGAGAAGAAAAAAGGATATATATTATATCAGACTCATGCACACCACCACCACCACCACCAATTTCCGATTAAATTATGCATATTCGAAGGAAAACAAAGTGTGCTTATGCCCTTTTCAAGTGTTATGATGAATACTTTCCTATTACAAAATAAAGAAAATATCAAACCATATCAATATGTATTCCGATAAAAATATGGTATTTATGAAGCACAATTGGAGACATTTTTATTATGCGAAAACATCTGTTTTGTATAATTAACTATAATTTTTTTCTGCTAAATATTACATCTTGATAGATTGGTAATTTTATATCTTTTCTTTTCTTTTATACACATAATCTCAAGGTTATGGAATTATTAACCTATGTTGGACATAATAAAGATGAAAAACTTCAGTTTAGTTCTACTTCAGAAACTTAGCCAACATTGTATGATTAATGAGATTTTCTTCTTCTTTTTTTTTTATAAAAAAGTGTTAACTACAAAGTAGTTCTGAAATTTCTGTACTGTACATGTAGACAAAATCCGTCAAATCTTAATCATTCTGTTATCTATATTACTAATTGACAATTTATTTCTATTTTTGATTTTTTACAGTAGAACTGAGTACAGATTTCTTTTCTTAATGAAAATTATTTAACAAAAGATGTAGAAGGATAATTTGATCGATTAAATTAAGTACCATGAGGCTAAGTTAGCGAATACAAACCATGATTACTCTGTTTCTTGATGTTATTGTAAAGATATTTAAAAATGATAGTTATATAGGCTAAACAATTATTAAGATCGTTGTCTAGTAAACGAGCTTGACTCTAACAGTTTAATTTCTTTCGGATAATACTAAACATAGAACTTTGATCTCAAAAATTATCTCACTGTTTGGATATTTTTGAATCATTATTTTCAATAGACACACGATGTAACAAATCATAAAGTGTAAGATTTTTATTTATTTTTTGTCAATTGTTACGCACTAACGCACGCATAGATGTAAAAAGTATCTAAAAATTAATATTTATAACAGCTCATAAATGATCAATCAGTTACAAAATAATTATCAGTCAAAATTGTTTTCTATAGAAAATGTAATAAACTTCAACTTTATATGTTTCAGAGTATACAATATTAAATGATGAGTATATATTAAACTACCATCGTATTTCATTAATTGTAGGTAATATTCAAGTTTATTAATAATATACAAATTTTCATTTTTATCCTTGACTAAATGGTACGGGGTATATACTTGACACATATATAAGTGTGTGAAACTTGTTAAATTCAAATATTAAAAGCATATACAAATCAATTGTACCCACAGAGCAACCTTCTATTTGAAGAAGAAGAAAAACGTCATTCTTTGATGTTCGATCTCATCAAGTAGTGACAAAAAAGGTAGGATATTCCTTGAAAACTATATAATTTTAACATACAAAACTATTAACTATGTCTTATTCCATTTTTTGTGCTATAACAATAAACTAAAAACTATCATAGTCTTTACAAAATAAATTGGAGATTGTAAAAATTATTTAAAATGCACATTTACACAAATATCATATCAAATTGAAGATATTATAAAACGAAAGATTCATTGAACAATATCTTAATCTATTGTCCTTGTATAATTCATCATTATAAATTGAACTATTAGAATACAGTGGCAAAATATTATTAGAAAATAGATGAATTGATCAGTATTTTATTCTTTTTTTTTTAGACAGAATCAATACTTCAGAAAAATAAGAATAATTTATCGGAGATGTTATTCATTCGTAACTGAAGTTCAATGGTGAATAAGATATAGTTATAATTGTTTGTTCAGAAGAAAGTGTTCGGTTTTTCTAAATGTCAGTAAAATTCGGGATGAACATAAATATCTCCTAAATATAGTCATTTAAAAGGTTATTCGATAAAAAGATTTACAATATTTTTAAAATGCACAAAAAAAGACACACTGATACTCAGTATAAGAAAGAAAAATATTCTATTGAGTAAAGACATTTTGAATAATTTTATTTTATTTTCATAGAGAGATAAACTCTTTTTATACATACATTTAATCTAGTAAATATATACACGTTTATAAGAATAAACGATAAATATTAATCAATAACAAATAAATGAAAGAAATGTAATGATATACTACTAATGATGTCTTAAATACTCATAATAAAGCGAAATACTTTTTTTTTTTTTTTTTTTGTACAAGCGAAGTGTTGTATAACATCAGTTAAGTTTCGCATTAAAGAGGAAAATAATTTCCATTCAATAGGTGTCTGATTAGTGAAATGAAATGACTAGTACGCAACATTTTCAAGTTTTACCTTAAGTCGTTAATTTAATAGTTTAAATTATTTACCACTAATGTGAGAAAAACTATGGTAAAACTGATACCTTGGCATTTTACCATAGTCAATAATTTGTATAAAAAAAAAAAATAAAAAGTGAGATTTTTCATGAAGAAATAAATAGTAATCACTATCGTGGCTAATTGTTATCTATCTCAAGCACTTTCTAAAAAACAAGATGTCTTATAAAAAATATGTTGATGCGACAAACAGAAAGTTCAAAGGAAAAAAGATGATAATATACCTGCATGAATCCATGTACAACGATCAACATCATGTAGTGAACACGACTTATTCAACGTTGATATATGGTTTACTATTCGTATTACCTTAGGTAGAGAGTAGAAGAAAAGATAAATAAAGATTTTAAAAGTACCGAAGTATAAACTTTAAAATGATTACAAATCTTAGATATACGCAAAATAAGCGCAAGACTGTTTTCTACTTACACACTAACAATATCTCTAGACATTCTGATTTATTATTGAATCCTTAATATATGAGAGAAATTTCTAACTGTAGGTTAATTACTTGTAGTTCGCTTACCTTCATATGTTTGCTTAGCAATCCAGTGCCAAACGTGATCATAGACTTTTCTTACAGAATCAATATGTGTCCCCATTACATAATAATGCTCATTGTTCACCGCACATACATACAAAAAAAGAGTAAAAATGTCGCTGACAAGAAGCGAAAGTTCAAATAATGAGATGAGAGTTTTTATTTAATCATGTTGTCGTTGAAAAATTTTTATACTTTTGAATAATCAAAGTTTTTTTTTGTTTTTTTTTTATTCTCAAAGAATATAAATATATCCATGTCACATAAACAATACGACAAAGAAGTACAAATCTTTGTTTCAGAATAGGTTTTTTATTATGAACTCTATAAAGTATATATACTGATTTTCGTTCGATGTATATGTAGTGCTTTAAAACGTAATATATATATATATATATATACGTTCAAGTTTCCGCTTTTTCCATTCTGTATGAGAAAGAGAAGAAAAAAAAAATCGTTTTCTTATATATGTATAGATATGATGATGATAGGTGTATATGGATATATCGAAATCTATCTATATACACTCACTTTACACGTTCAAAAGGTGGTGATGGTGACAATAGAACGAGAGAGAGAAAGAAGAAAGTCGCATAATTGTGTGATCTGAATAGTGGACGAAACACAAAGAATTGTGTTATTCCTGATGATTAGTGTCAATGTTCCTGTGTTTTTCGACTTCTTTCTTTTGTTAAAATTCAACATACATACACACACACACATATATATATATACACACACTTATAATTAATCAATCAATCAATAAATGGTCTTGAAAATTTGAAGTTCAATTCACCTGTACACATTTGAATGGCCTTGTGTATGTCATCCAACACATGTCCATTAGAATAAACAGGGGAAAGACAAGTTCCATTAACCTTTTTAATAATGTTTGATGGAGGACAAGATAGCGAGCTGCAGTTTGCGTTATGTTGAAGCCGAAACTTCGTCATTCAAAAAGTTTTTTGAAGGTAGTGTATCTGGAAAATCTTTGTAAAATCAGATTGTTAAACAGGTAATATTCATTCAGGCATACATTTAGCGAAAAAGTGAATGTATTAATAATCTAATTTTTCATATTAAATAATTGACTTCAAAAACCCCGTTATCTTTTTCTATAAAGAGAATATTTTTACTGTCATTCTGATAGCGGGGAACCTCATGCTGGAGAATAGTTCGAAAAATGATAAGTGCGAAAATGTTAATGTTGTTTAAAACTTGTAAGTGTTCTTAAATTAAAAGCGATCTCATAGATGAAGCTTGACATCTTTTTCTACTGGAAAACTAAAATATTTAGTAGTTTAATACAGAAACATAGGAAAAAAATATTTTCTGCGCTAATAAATTTTCCTAAAAGTAACTCTTCCGTGATGTAATGAATATGAACAGTTTAATCGTACTCAAACTTTGCACATGAGTGAATGGCATAACCATTGTACCGTTCATTTTCTGCATGTAAAAGGAGGATAATTCTTTTTTCTCTGAAGCAATTTTAAAATTTCCTTTTTTGTCTTGTTTCCTACACTAGGTCTACTACTATGTTAGAAGTCAACCTTTTGTCTCTTATAGTTGACAATATATAATTTTTCCATTTTGGCATTAGTTGGCCTTTGGCGCCGTCTACTAAGAAAAATGAATTTTTTCCAATATATCTAATCTTTCAAGAGTAATCGTGTTTTTCCATTTTGTAGGCTACATTATTCTCTACAATCCCACATCATTTAATTGTACACAGAGGTAAAACTATTTCAATTAGAAAAAAGCTGATCTTTGCTCTGTTACACATTTTGAATTTTATGTCCGGTAAGATTTCAAAGCGTAATGTCGAGCAGAAGAAAAAACTGGAAATGATTGTCACTAAATAGAATCGATACAGCTTCGAGTGTGTAGCAAATCGATAAGAAAATATAATTTGAAAAGTACTTTCTTTGTGCAGGAAATTCTATTATATTGTTGAGAGTGGAGACTTTTCTCACAAAATGTCTGGTGAGATTTTTGATATCTCGATAAATAATACTCCAATCAAGTTCAAATTTTGCTCATTTTTTGACCTCGTGCGATTTGATATTTGGTTAAAAAAAAATGAATCTGAAATATTACATCGTCGAGGAGAAATTTCAAAATGTCCGGTGGGATTTCTACATACTCATTTTCAATGAAAATAGAATCGAAATTCGACTTATATTTTGCTTATACATCTGCTTCGGCTGAATGTGCTCTATTCAACCACGAAGCTCGAAAGTATCAGTTCCTCATACGCAATTTAATTCAAAATGCACTCTGTTCTTGTAGTAGGCGAGAGACAACAGCGCATTACATTTTTGTTTCTAAACGACATAACATAGCGTGTGTCAGATTACTGCAACAACTAAAAGAAATATTTTTCAACTTTTCAATCACTATCAACCATCTTCTGCTTCGTGATTCCTCTCTGCGACAAATATCGATTACGGACTTGTATGAACTGTGCAACGCCGTATGTGAGTTTATTCATACGACAAACAGATTTGGGCATACCTGATGATTTACTGTTTACTATAGTATTAGTGTTTCGCTCACGTACATGATATCTTCCATCTTGCATTTTATGTTCTTCCTACTTACAGACACTTACTCGACTGCATTTTGTTTCTTTTTAAATTTTATTCATGTTTTTATCTTTTACGTTTTTTATCTTTCATGTTTTTTATCTTGACACATCTTCCTCGTATGAGAATCGTGGACCTACAACGTCATTTGGCGATTGGTCTGCTAATAAACGCGTTTAAATCAAAGTATTAGTTCAGCAAGTATGAGTAACGATTTTTAAGAGTTACTCTTCAGCTAAAAGTTTCATGTTCGGCATTTTTAACAGAAAATCTACGTGATAAAGTTGGAAACAGCATCATCGGATCTAGGTCACCAAAATCTGCCGATCTATGCATAATACCTATTATTTCTTTCAAGTATAATTGAGTTTTTCTGCAATCATTTTGGGGATTCAGCTGGTTGTAGTACCGAAAACGCGTTGTTTCGCTGTTTTGATTATAAAGTGTCGGAAAAAAGGTTTTCTAATTAACATCCACTTTATAAAG